CAGCTGAGCAGCATCCAGATCAACACCAACATGCTCAGGAATAGTTTCTACCCTGCAGCTGTTAAACCTCTTAACTCCAGCTACATATAGTGTTATCGCGTGAAGTTATGTGAACTCAAGTCAACTTCTGTTCTCGCGAGTTAAATCTCCGGACCTGTTGCCGGAGCCGCAGGGCCGCACCGCACCGTAGTCAAAAGGGCGGTGTGAGAGGGGGTGTGCGGGAGTTGCGGTCTCCGTCGGCTTGGTAACCGCACCAGAGCCAGTGTGAGCAAGGGGTTAATGTCCAAAAAACACAATAACTGATCTTTGACCTGAGGGCAGTTGGAATAGTTTGGAATATGCAATGGTATTCAAAATTTAAACTAAACTGACATGCTTTTTTATGTATTCATGATCTCATATAACAGATTTTTTAAAGTCTTTTTTTCCTCAAATTTTTATTGTGAATGTAATGTAACATGTTTCCTTATGTATTTAGTTATTGTCTTATAATGTATTTCTATAGCAGTGTTTTTATGTGTGAATGCAGTGTGACACATAGTTTGGACTACAGTATGTAGGATCCATATAAAATTTCCTTTGGGACAATAAAGTTAATCTAATCTTATCTAATCTAATCGAATCTAAATGTGAGGTGACATGACAATAAAAACCTTAAATCCTGCCCAGTTTTTAACAAGCCTGTCACCTTTCCTATGCAGGAAATGATTAATGCATTAAATGTTTCTGCAAAATCTGCTGAATGAAAGCCTCTATCTCTGTCATGTTATCTGAAACACTCAGAAGTTTAACATTTGTTTCTAAAGATATACCTGCCTCAACAAGTACAACCATAACATAGATGTAAATGAGGAAATATAGAAAGAAAAATACTTAAACACCACATATAACATTTGTATGAATACAGGTTTCATAGTGACCAATACAATCTAGAGCAATTCTTGAAGGTCTTCATGCTTTTCTGTTAGGATGTTAAAGTTGTCAAAGGCAGCCCTAAACTTTTTCAAAAGATTTTCAGAGGTAGTGTGGTTACAAAAAAA